TATATATATATATATATATATATACACACACAAACACATACACTTTGTTTTCATCCATCCATTTTCTGTACTTGGTTGCCAGTCAATTACAGAGCCCAACAATCCTTCACACTCACAATCACACCTACGGACCATTTTGAGTTTTCAATTAATCTGCCATGCAGGTATTTTGGCTGGAAGGTGGAGGATGGGAGGAAGGGGGCTGTTGGGTGGGGCTATGTAAGCAAAGGGAGAATGCATCCTTCAACAGAGATTTGAACATGAATCTCCTGACCATGGCTCCAGTGTGCTCACCAGAAATGCACCATGCTGCCACTTTGTGGTCAGTGCACACAAATATATTTCACATGAAGACGGCTCCTGGCGCTGATATCTTTATACTTTCCAAAGCAAATGAGACAGTGGCTATTGTAAAAACAACTTGTGCTTTAGCTACAAGTGGAGTTGCCGTTTGACGGTTGTTTTTGGATTACACTTCAAGCACATTGGTTTCCAGTGGCACTTTGTTCACTCAGAAGTGTTTCCTCAACATCCATGTGAGTGAGGAGCATGTCAAACAAATCAAACTGCCTTTTTGATTTTGTTTTCATAGCTAGAATAAACAAGAACAAGAGCAACAACAGAGCAAGCAGCATAACATCTTGGAGGTAACGTGGCAACCAATGTTCTGCACTTCAGTACATCAGAGGCACCCCATGTTTCAATCGCCCTAAAGGTACCCGTTTACAAAGTGATACAGCTTAGGGTTTTTTAACTCGGGGCGAGGGGCTGATTTGAAACCCCTTCTGCTGCCAAGCGCATGGACGGCTGCTGATTAGAAAGAGGGTTGGCAGCAGTGGGCAGATGCCAGGCGGGAAGAGAAATAACGGTCTGTCCTCAGTCTCCCTCCCTTATTGACCCATCCCCCACAAAACCCAAATGGGGGAGGGATCAATTGCAAGAAGTATCACAATGCATCAGATGGGACTTTTATGTAAGGATAGGTATCTATTGCAAGGTTTTAGAATTTCTTTTCTATGGATCCCAACCATTTTCTGAGGTGTTTTGATCACACGGAAAAGGTTCCACAATGTTGGGATCACAATGGAGTTTTGCTCCTTTCATCGGCATACCCACGCATTCACTTCAGCACAAAACCTACATGCAGTGTATTGTGCCCACATTTAGTGTACTGAACACTCATGAAGTGACACAAGGCCCATTTATGTTTTAGCTTTCGGAGTTTCTGAAAATTCAGCAGAGTAAATTTCATGTGACTAAAACAAAAATCATCCTGACATTTTGTTGCAATTGGGATGACAAAAAGCATAGGACAGACAAACTGGATGGACTGTACTTTTTCAAAGAGTGTCAATGGCATGCTGGGAATCATTAATGTAAGCAAAATGACAAGCTCGGGCCTTAATCATGTTGCCATATTCTGGTATTGATTTGAAAGCAGCTCAATAAAACTACACGGCTACCCAACTGCACTACATTTTCAAATTGTATCCTCACTTCATCCCATGTTGTGAATAAATATATTACACACATCTTTATTATTATCCATGTAATTATCTAATTAATCTAAGGTTATCTAATTAATCTGATCTTTATAGAATGGAAAAAGTCAAATAAGTATCAAACAATGCAAGGTTAGGATACAAATCAAAAACAGATTGTTCATAATCAACTATGGGGAATTTGGCTTTCATGGAGTTGATCAGTCATTCAATAATTATTAATATTATTCTGCTCGGGGCTAAAAAAATCAATATGGACTTCTTATTTATGAGGTATCATTTTTTTCTGGGTGACATAGTCAGAGCTGAGCAAAGGCAAAGGCCTATAACATTTTGAAATCGTGAGCTTTAATCATGAAACTTGACTTTAATTTTCATAAGCCATTGTCATTTTGTTACCTATTTGTATTCCAATGAGGGTGGGTGATGGGCCTTGAAATTCTACAAACATCTTAATTTCAGAATCATGTCAGTGGCAATTAATTGACTACAGTTCAAATATAAGATGTTCATTATTGTTTTACTTGCGCAAATAATCCAGCAGAGTAAATATAGTTTTGCAAGTCGCTATAAACTACAAGGTCACACATGTACTACTTTATTTTGCATCCTCATGCTTCCGTCTCATTGTCTAGGTGATTTTCTTGTGCCTTCCTTCCTCCCTGCGTTAACTGTTTCAAAATTCTTCAATGTCTTTGTTGATCTGTCTGTCTCCCTGTCTGTCTGTCTATCTGTCCATCTCTCCTCTCCCATCTCATATATCTCCATCAGGCCGGGACGAAAATATCTTAAGAGCTGCAGTCTGACTGAAACTGAGACCTGGAATGTACTCCTACACTGTCTCTCTCTCTCTCACACACACACACACACACACACACACACGTGCGCGCATGCTACACATCAGGCCGACAGGTGGACTTCCAAACTGACAATACACTTATGGACAGGACACACTAACACGAGTACACAACACGCGCACGCGCGCGCGCGCACACACACACACACACACACACACACACACACACACACACACACACACACACGGATACACTCATCTCCATGAACTCACGTGCATACTCTTGTCCACGACAAGCTGATGATTGGCTTGTGGTCTTTGAATAGAGGAGACAGTGCCCCCTGGTGCGGACAGAACAGTACTCCTTGACCTCCATATTTTATCCCGATTACAGTTGGCTACTCATTTGGAATTCAATCAATTCAATCTGAAACCTCATTATCAGTGACATTCAAAAACATAATGTTTCTTTGTTTTTGTTTTTTTCTATCCTAATGTATCACGGTACCTTAATTCTCAAATGTCCCCATTGTGGCACATTTGAGTAGGCCTATATTAAGGCGCACTTTATTATTCTCTTGTAGATATAGCCTACAAGAAATAGAGAAACCATAAAAACCTGATCTTCAAACAAATGTCATTTTATTATATGATCTGCATGCTATTGTTCTTCAAACATGACTATATGTTTGGCATTTTACAAGATGCTCTTTCACAAGATGTTTTTTAAAATGGTTTCCTCGTGTAAAATAAATGTGTTGGGCCGTGTATTCAAAATATTATCAATCCAAAACTTTTATGATAGGACTACACACAATACGAAGTCAATGTCGTTCTCATTTTTGTTTTTCTCTGAAACATGTTCTTGCAAAAATCATCATCATCATCGTCGTGGGTGTCAACTTCAGGGTAGAATGGCTTGTTAGTGGTCTGGTCGCCCAAAATGTGCATTTTGGCCCGATAAAAATTTTCATTTGAGTGTGAGCACTACCGACTATAGTCAGTAGTGCATTGATAAAGACAGAAATTGCTCTTAATTATACTGTACCCTTATGTTTGTTCTTTTTGCAAAATATGATTAAACAAAAATGTTTTCATGTGAATAGTGGCTATTTAATGATTTCTCCAGCTAGTAATATAGTGTATTTTTTTGTTCAGTGTAGAAGACGCTTGTGTTCAAGAGTTTCTTGTCATTGTTGCCAGCAGGCAAATTGTACTGCATATATTTAAATAGCGGCTGTTTGCTGTTTACACGTCTGCTGGACCACAATGCACTCGGGGAACAAGCACCTGATAGATGAATACTGATGAGGAAGACTGCTTGGCCACTCTCTTCATTAGTTTGTTGCCACCTTGACTGCTGTCAGAGGCTCGGGTTTCAAGGAATGCCATTGTCTCCCACAGAGGTCATAATGCCTTTAATCACAATAATAAAGGACGAGCAAATGTCTGTTTTGCGTGTAGACAGGTTCAGAGCACACGTACAAAAAAGGCAGGCAGGCAGGAACACACTCGTGTACACGCGCGCGCACAAACGCGCACTCAACAGCAGAGTGCACAAAAACTTTTCATTGCGACTTTTTGTACATGTGTTTGGAAGATAAAAGCAACTTATAAAACAACTTAAATACGTCTCTACTAATGATGCATCATTGCTAATATAATAAAACACTGGAAGGACATGAAACTGAAACTATGGAACAAATCGAGGAGTCACGCAGAGACGCCTCCCACAGGCCGCATTGCACACTACTCCAAAGAGGCGCACGCACCGGACGTGTCTACCTTGGACCAGCTGCAAGTTTTCATTTTAAAGCTTCGCCTCCCTAACACCGCCTCACTCACTCGAGCTCTCTCTCACTTGTAGTCCTCAGTGTTAATTAAGATGAATGTGGATTAGTTTGAATCCCGCAGACAGTCGAACTGAATAAACAATAGAACCTGACAATTTGAGTAAACATTAGTTTTAATATAGGCGTGATCTGTACAGGCCTGGTGGTGACAACTTGATATCCACGTAAAAATGTCATTGTAAACAGTGGTTGTGATAATATAGAAAATAATAATCATCATAATAATCATAATAATAATAATAATAAATGCCTTGGAGTGCCCCAGTTTCTTTTCCTCGCTGTGGATCACCTGACTTGAATTAACGTGACAGTATGTGTGGGTTTTATCCAACAAGTAAGACCAAAAAGTTAATTCTGAGGAAGAGAAGGGAGGGACCACATGCTGGATCAAGCCTACCTCTTGCAGTGGGCACTTTTTGTTCCGAGACTCTTTCCGAGGCAAAAAGGGGCGGGATGGATATTCAGATGAGCCGGAGTGACAGCTTCAGTTCCCCCCAATGCCGGCGCGCGCATGTGTGTGCGTGCGTGTGCAAGTGTGTGCGTGCGTGTGTGCGTGTGTGTGTGTGTGTGTGTGTGTGTGTGTGTGTGTGTGTGTGTGTGTGTGTGTGTGTGTGTGTGTGTCCAACTCCATCGGCTCCTTCCCTTCCAACTCCTCACATAGCGCTGCGTACTAAAAACACCGGACGCTAGGGGATCAAGACGCACGCCACCCAGCCACTACTGGGCTCGTTGACAAACCTTACGGTGTTCTGCAACAAAGGGGGCTTTGGAAGGAGGACTTTTTTTTTTTCACTGTCTGATGTGACTGTTTGCCTCGCCGGTTATTGAGTCGATTGTTTTGACCGCTGTTACTCGCCCTGTGCGCATTTCCCCCCTTCCCCTTGTGCGCCTTTTCCCTCCTTCCTCGTTTGGATCGGCCGTCTACCCCCACGCGCTCCCATGTCCTATCCTCAGGGTTACCTCTACCAGCCCCCGGGCTCTCTGGCTCTGTATTCGTGTCCGGCTTATGGGGCCTCGGCTCTGGCTGCTCCGCGGAATGAAGATCTGGCGAGGTCGTCATCCGGATCAGCATTCAGCCCGTACCCCGGATCGGCTGCTTTTTCCGCCTCGGCCAGCTCAGGCTTCTCCAGTCCGCTGTCATATTCCACGGACCCTGCCACGGGATTCCCATCATACATGGTAAAATATGTTGATATTGTAAGAGGAATTTCCAAGGGAGGCACGCGGATGCAGACGCCCCCAAAGTGCGCATTGCCGCAGGTTTTTATTTGATTTTGTCTTGCCTAATTCTCTATTCTATAATTGTGACGGAACTTATCTGTTCAAGATTGTTGTCCATGTCGGCCTAGTGGTAGTGTCCGTAGATCCACATCAATGGCATCTTAATTTTAAATGGGAATTTAAAGCATAGGTTGCGAGCTGTAATGACTTAACAGTCAACGCGCAGCTAATTATGTAAAACTGAATACCCAGCGAGGGTATTCATTTAAGCTTTCCTCTCCCAGCAGTGACTTTATGGGTCAGAGGAAATTAATACAAAGCATGCAAACGGACCTTCTTGCTCGGCAGCTATTAAAAGTCGTTAAAATCACATTGGGACGAGAAATGTTGATATATTATCCTGGAGAGTGAAAAACTAATAGGGCAGCCAGCCCCCTCGAAGCGTTTTAGAAGCGGTTTTTGTTTTACTGCTTCCTCTCTGACATACGTTAGTATTTTATGGGGTGTCAGCAAACAAATATATAGTTATAATAATAAATGTGGAAATTGACTAAATTGGCTGATGAAAATAAATAAAATGACTTGACAAAAAATAAATAAAATGACTTGACAGCAATTCCTGTTCTGTTTGTAGAACTATCAAGCATGTCATAACATTTCAATGTGACACAATATGTCATTATCCACCTTTTTCATTTATGTATTTTGTAAAAGCGTCATTGGTTATTTCTGGGATTTGGGTGTTTTTTTTTTTTTTTTTTTTTGCGAATCACCCAGAGTTTAATTAACACAGTATATTGATATTATAATTTGTCCGATAATGACCTGAAAGAATAACGTCATCGGTTTTCATCTCGACATCAGTGTTACAACAAATAGGAAAATGGGCATTGCACGGTGGTGTCGTTGAAAAATAAGGCTAAAAATGACACTCCGAGTGTAATTAAAGCGTTTTCCCTTCCAGAGCTCTCCGTATGACGCACACACGACGGGCATGGCCGGGGCGTTAAGTTATCACCCCTACGGGAGTCCGGGGTACCCCTACCAGCTCAACGACCCGGCTTACCGAAAGAACGCCACTCGGGACGCCACAGCCACCCTGAAGGCCTGGCTGCAGGAGCACAGGAAGAACCCTTACCCGACCAAAGGGGAGAAGATCATGTTGGCCATCATTACCAAGATGACCCTGACTCAGGTCTCCACTTGGTTCGCCAACGCCAGGAGGAGGCTCAAGAAGGAGAACAAGATGACTTGGGCGCCCAGGAATAAGAGCGAGGACGAGGATGATGATGATGGCGACGGAGAGAGGAAGGATGTGGAGCGAACCGAAAAGAACTTGGAAAACAGCGAAGCTTCGGCCGAGGATGAAGGTGCATGCGCTGGACAAGTAGTGCATCTAATATTGAACCATTTGGGAAACACTGTTCATTGCCGTTTTTTTCCAAATACGAACAAAATGACTGAATTATTCCTCAATATATTTTCGATAACGAAAATCGGACTGACCAATTATTATTTAATTAGACGTCATCTTCAGAATAACACAAATCCGAGGGAAATTAAGAATTTCTGTTATTTTTAAAAAACGATATATCCAAAAGGTCACGTGATTAAATTATGATAAAGATAAATTCTAATTCGAAAAATCTGTTATTTCGAGCTGGCATTTTAATGCAAAATTAACATGTTGACAGTGATTAAAGTGAATGGACTGTAAAACTGACGACTTATTTAAGGCATGATGTCGATAGATGTGAAAAAAAACAAACGAATACCACGATTGGTTAAAACATGTAAATAGCCTATTCTGACAATAATGAAAGAAATTTAAAAACACCAAACCCCTCAAAAAGCACTATAAAAATTCACTCTTAATACTCGCATCACATTTATTGATTGCATTGAATACATTAGTGGCTGGAATCCCTCTTACTGATTTTACATATACGATAATCGTTCCTTCATGTTTTAAATCCTATTTCTGAACATTTTGTCCACAGGTATTAGTTTGCACGTGGACACTCTGACGGACCACTCGTGTTCTGCCGAGTCAGACGTGGAGAAGGTGGTGTGTCGGGTGGGAGATTTGGGTTCTGATCAGGCCCGGGACAAATGCGAAGATGACGTGGAGGAGCAGAACCACGCCTCCCGCTTTCAGCTCTCCCCCAAATCAGTCACAACCTCGCCTCTGATGGGAGTCGAAGCGCCAGTTTTCACCCATCAGCACCATCACCTTCATCACCTCCAACATCTCCAACGCGAGGATTTAGCTCGGAGCCTCGGCATGAGCAACACCATCAATGCCAATAAGACCTGCCTTGAAAGCAGACCGCCCACTGGGGCTTCTCAGAACCCCAAACCAAAATTGTGGTCACTGGCGGAGATTGCTACCTCAGACGCAAAAGAGCAATTGGGGCAACCAAACTGCCCCTCCTCGTTATCCACCAGCGGGGGCCTTCTGACTCCCCCGACTCCCTCCACGACCTCCCCGTCTGCCACTTCACCCTCTCTATACGCGACCCCCTCCCTCGTCGGAAGACCTATTTATTACACGTCGCCCTTTTATAGCAATTACACAAACTATGGCAACTTTAGTCCACTGCAGGGCCAGAGCATCCTGCGCTACTCCAACTCCGGGGTAAGTCTGGCTGCAGCAGCCGCCGCCGCAGCCGCTGCTGCCGCCGCAGCCAACGACGGTCTCGGCTCGCATCAGGCTCCGGAGGCCGTCACGCAGCTGAAACAACTCAGGCCCGATTCCCCGCTGCTTAAAATAAACTTAAATCAGACTGTTGGTGTTAGTGAGCAACATCAAAAACATTACAGACCTGCAAATTTGGAGCCAAAGAAGGGCACGTAGAACTGAGATGGGGCGCATGTGAGGCATCTTGAGAATGTAATTTAGAAAACGACAACAACACACACGCAGTGGTCGAAGACAGCTCGCTTGTTTCTAAACAAAGACCTTTTTTTCTGAACTCATGTTTTCATTGATGAAATCAATGTTTGTTTGTTTTTTGCTCTATCATTTTCTTTTTAAATAGCACGGCATATAAACAACTATGCTTATTTGATTCGGCCGTAAATTTGAGTGGACTGTAAGGAAAAACGTGTCTGTTTTGGCGGATGGTTTGGTGAGGCTTCCCGTTGAGATGTGCCAGTGTGCACATGCCAGTGTGAATCAAACCAAGAAGACAATTCGAACCACGCCCAAATGTGCTCGCTTGCAACAGGTGAGTCCGCTCAAACTTGGGTTAGAAATGCACGACGGTGCATTTCTATAGTTCGGTTTATTGCTGTCATCGCGGGTGAGCCAACACATGCCGATATGCAAATGTATTTACTCTACACCTACGTAATCAGTGAGGATGCACTGATGAAATTACATGGTATGATTTGGAAATGCATTATGGACTTACTATACGGTGTCCTGTAGTTTTTGACTGGCACGCAGACCGTTTTTATTTCCATCTTCTACAGGTAGGTGTCACAATTGCTTTGAGTTTAAAGGCAGCGTGGACACAACCTCTTATTGTTTTAAAGACATTTTTTCTCCCGCTAAAGATCTTCAGTGCCACCATAAAATCGAACTTTTTGTAGCTGCTTGCTTTGCCCCACTTGACAGTACACACATCTGAAACATTATTTTGCCTTTGCTTGTCACTTTATGTTGTGCATAACTTATCACCTGATCTATGCTCAGTTTATGTTTTCCCAATACATGTGATCATCACGTTATATCTCAGGTTCCTCTAGGTTTGATATTTCAGTATAGTGTATTTATGTGTGATAATATAATTTGGCTTTTTTTTTTTTTTTTTTTGGTGGGGGGCATTTAAGGACAAGTCAGAAGAAAACCTGTGAGGACTTCAAAGTGGAATAGCCTACATTTGATATTTATTTTTGTAAATGATGGCGGAATTATGCCTTTAATTTATGCAAGTTGTATTGCAAAAAAACAAAAACAGAACAACAACTGACATCTGTTTATTCTGTAAATATATATATTAACAGTTTTTATTTGAATTTGTGAAGGGCAACACAATCTTGTTGAGGATTAGGCCTACTCATGATAATTTATATATTTGAATGTAAATAGAAATGAAAAACGAGCACTGGTGGAATATTGTACTGGTGGTATCAGCTATTCAAAGAAAAAAATATTAAACTGTTTTCCCAACTATTATATTTTCAAGAGTCTTTCTTTTCAAGAGCCTTTTGTTCTATCTATCTATCTATCTATCTATCTATCTATCTATCTGTCTGTCTGTCTGTCTGTCTGTCTGTCAACACTGAAAAAAAATTGTGGTTGAATTCACTCGATTTTATTTTGTCAAGTGGCGGCACAACATAAAATCATGTTTTTAAAATTAGTTGTATTGTCTACTTGAAAATATAAATGGATTCAGATAGTTTTATGTTGTGCCACCACTTGACAAATTAAAATTTAGTAAAGGCAGCACATTTTTTTTCATTTTATTTATCTATCTATTACTCTAAACAATATGGGTTCTACATAGCACCCAAGGTCAATTCTTTGTCTTGCACTTTTGGGAACCACTTTTGCTCATGATTTAGCACCCAATCTTCGTGGTTCTGAACCAACCAGTGTCCAGTGGTTCAAGAGAGTTGCCAAATGGCTTATGGATATTCATTTCTATCAACACCATCATATTAACCTCTATCAAAGTGATGCAATTATGGTACCGGTTTTTATTTTCAGTGATGTCTTGGATCTTATTAGATGGTACATCTTCTTCCATTCCTTTTGGCTTATTCCGTTAGGGGTCGCCACGACGCGTCATACTTTTCCAAGTACCTAAATGTCTTCCCTCACTACATCTATCAACCTTCTCTACCTTGTGCAACATTGAATCTTTACATAATCAGTGAAACCAGAATCATCAAGGGGTGAACACACACATACGTAGTTTAATGAGAGGTGTCAATGACATGACCCTTTGTTTTGGACTGTGAACCGATAAAGAATTCCATGATGATTTACAGAACAATGGGTGCTATTTCAAACTAACCATGAACGCTCGGAGAACCCCAATGGCACCATATGAGAGTGCAATGCAGAACCTCTGAAACAGTTTTATTTTTAGAGTCAGTACGTTTATCTGTCTGTCTGTCTCTCTCTTTCTTTCTTTCTTTTTCTATCTATCTATCAGGACTAATTTGGGTCAGGAATGTCATTACCACACAAACAAAATTTCTTTTATTTGTATTCCCATTTCACTTTCCTTTTGCCCTAGTGCACATTTATTTGAACGTGCGATTAAGACAGCCACTGTGGGACACGTCAGGCATTTTGGGCCCCCAGTGGGACTCATCCATGGAGATTTTTTAGACTGGTTCATGGAGGTTGTATCCGCCCTGCCTGCTTCATTATAGCGACATGGCACTGAGCGATCCATAAAAGTCTATCTCAGCATCTGCCAGCTCCAATGGGCTGTGTGATGGGTCCTAATAGGACAGACTTTCCTCTGCTTCTCATCATGGCCGCTTAAAATGGCCTGCTCTGGGCCACAGCTAATTAAGCACTTCAGGAAGGGGAAAATATATATATATTTGTAGTGTTATTTCTTATCGGTGTGTGATATAGTCAAGATCAATTGTATGTCACGGTGCAATCTAAGGCCTAATCCTTCATTTTGAATTTGAGAATTGAGTGTTACTCAAATCTTTTCTGATCCCACTTATTGGAGAAGTATTTGGGTTTGGTGGTGAAAAAAACTGCCAATATCTGAATGTTATTTTATATTACACTTTATTTTATTTTCAAGAGAGGAAATCCGCTTAGAGTTTTTGTGTTTTGTTTTTTGTTCTTTGACTGTATCCTTTAGGTGACTCTACTTTGATGGCAAAAACACTGATTTAAAAGCCTGTGGCCAGACTCATCTTCAACTGAAATGGTTGCATTATTTGATGCTTTATTTAAATGCATGCCTTATTGTCAGGTGGGCTCCATCAGGGACTCAATACTGTTGTCAAATAACACCAGAGGCACCTTATAGAGCAAAGAGGGACTTTCCCTTTTTCTCTCTCTCGCTCCTTTCTCTCTCTCCAAACTACTGCCGCTACCTCCAAATGTCAACATTTGTTCCCAGTAAAGATAGTTATTGTAACTGGAAAAAAAATGTTGGTCACCTTTGAACACATGAAAAGAGACTCCCACCCTGTCTCTCCGTTTGGTTGGGAGCAGTGGCAGGTGAAAATGTGAGCAAGGCGTCCATTGCACATAGCAGAGTTTACGCTGTAAAGTCTGTTGTGAAGTTATGTCACGATTAGTCACAATTTCACAGAGGCTCCTGTGTTTACTTTTCAAGAAACTATTTGCAGAATAGCACAGCTTGACCTTGAGGTGGTCCACATTGATCTCTAAGGCCAAGGCAAAAGAGACAATTTAGTGAACTGCCAAGGCTCTAAAAAGTGAGAACGATTCACCTTTGCTTTAGAGAAAGGGAAGAGTTCATCTAAATATTCTTTGAACCCTACTCTTGCAAATCAGATGGTATAATGCTCTCATATAGCTTACCACAGAGAGTGTGTTCATCCATACTAAGGACAAGTTGTCATTGAAAGCTAAATAGATGCTATCGGAGTGCTCATGGCTTCATGCGAGTGTAGACTGGAGAACGAGTGGACTCATTTCTCTTATCATTGATCAAATAAGCAGCTCATATATGCTGATAATTTATGAGCTCTTTGTATCCTTTTATCCTCCCATCAACCCTTTCTCCTCTAAAATGCTGAAGACATTAATCTCTGACGCTCACCTGTGTACCAATCTGCCGACAAGTATTATTAGAGCAATGTGATATTACACTTTATACATTTGATTCCAATTTCCAGTGACTCATTTTGGATCATTGAATTAGAGCCATGGGTAATTACATTTAACGGACAGCAGTGACTCTCACAGTCAGACAAAACATTCCTCAATGGATTGTGACATTTTTTTTTTTTTTTTAAACAAGACCTTTTCGGTCAATTGAAAACTCTGGAGTAGGTGATGATATTGTAAAATTTGTATTTTATGACACATTTTTGAGTGTCGCTATATCCACAACATATGTTGTAATTTGCTAACTTGAAAAAGGAGATGGTGGCCCACATGGTTAGCACATCTGCCAAACAGTTCAAAAACCGAGGGTTTGAATCTGGACTCTGGGCTTCTCAGTTCGTATGTTCTCACCGTATTTGTGAAGGCGTTGTCTGGGTATTTGGGTTTCCTTCCACTTTCCAAAAACATGCATGTTAGGTTCACTGAAGATTAGGGCAGGCCCAAGCACACTCTAATGAGGAGCGGTATATAAATGGATGAATGAACGAATGGTGATGTTGTGTTATCCATGTATTATCTGTATTTCTGTTCATTTTTGCTTTGTGCATTCTTTTCTCTGTCTGTCCCCACGCAAACCTTGTTCTCTCTGACTGCATTCCTAATTAATACCACAATACAAATAACCACAGAGGGAGTTGATTCTACCCGGTTGCACCCAAAAACTGTTCCAACATAAAAAAACATATATATAGCTTCATCATGCAGGATGCAGAGCAGCACAGGTTAAAAAATGGAAAATTATTTTGAAGCAGTTACCAAACTCTTAGTACCGTATGCTTTGGCACATTTTGAAAACACATTTCATTGTGTGTCCTCCACAAATGGACAGGTTAATCGGCAACACGTGTATTACTGTTCTGGAATAATGTTAATCAACATTGGATGAGTCTGAAAAAAAGATGAAAAGTGTGGCTAAATTGCTGCTGTGTGTCAGAATATTGGGTGACAGAATTATGGGACCGTTTATTGGTGATGAAAATCTTGATGTCAAAAAGTATTTTGACTTTTATTTTTGCTGGTAAGTTTGATGCAAAACCTTGCGTAGTATGGATTTTACCATGCTTTGTAATTTATAGCTTTGACGTTTGAGAAAAATATTCTACCTGTTGCTGAACCAATATTACACAATTATTACGAGATATATGAATAAATTCCAGATGATGATAATGATGATTATTATTACTCAAACCTTAGATGCCAGAAAAAAAAAATAGGGCAGATACTGAATCCACATCAACAAATCACCTAGAAAACTTTACTTGTATTTCTGATTAAAAAAAAAAAAAAAAAAAAAAGTAAAAAAAATACATTTGTTGACCAGTATATCCTCTCAAACACCCATCCATCCATTTCCTATCCCACTTATCCTCATTAGATGTGCAGGTGACTTCAGCCAAGAGGTACACTTGACTAGAGACCAGCTAATCACAGGGCACATATAGACAAAGAAGCATTCACCTCCTAACAGTTTTCAATTAACCTAACATGCATGTTTTTGGAATGTAAAAAGAAAAGAGAGTACTTTGAGAGAACCCAAACAATCACAGGCACAAACACGCAAACTCCACACAGGAAGGCCAGAGAGGGCTATTGAACTGTGAGAATCAAATCAGAGAAAACAGGATGGACAGCAAAACTGTCCCAAAGGTCGTGGTAAACGGTGAGGTGGTGCAAACATGTAAAATTACCTTCGTGAGCTAATGACGATGAGCGCACGCCGTCTGTCCATCTGTAAAGTGTCTTTCTATTTCGTTGTCCTTTGTGTTTCATAAAGGTGTTTGTAGCAAAATATTTGCAGAGTAGCATGTTATTATCCAAATACGTTTAAAAGGCACACACACATATAAGAAGGTACCTAGTGTTGCACTTTTCCAAAAGCCCAATACATTTATCTACAAAAAAACATTAGCTATGTACACTAACGTAACAAAATAACATCTGCTGCACAACACCAGAATCAACAGCTCCATGCAATAATGTGTTGCTTTATCTGTGTTAACTATTATACCTATAGTTTGTAGTGGTGTGGAATTACGCGGAATCCCACTCAAATTAGTTCCAACATCCCTCTTATGCTAAATAGAGTAACCAAAACATTGTAAACACCGATCAGTTGGATATGGCTGTATGGTTCAATGAATGCAGTCTATTATTGATGGTGTCAATGAAAACTAAGCATTGTTGTCCTCATGGGTGGAGGGCTACTGTGCATTAGTTGGCATCCGCGGACTACTAGTATAATTCGTGACACACTATCAGGGGTGGGCAAACTTTTTAGCTCAGGGGCCATATTGATTTCTAAATTTGACAGGTGGGCCGGGTCAGCACAAGATATGGT